CTGATATACGACATTCCCGCTCGAGCGGAGAACACAACGCTCGAGCGTCAAGAACAAAAAACTAGGTACGCTCGAGCGCAAGAAGTCCCGCTCGAGCTCCAAGACACAAGAATAAAGTACATCCGCCCGAGCGCGAAAACCAGTCCGCTCGAGCGTAGATTTCCCCCTCCCATAACTTACACCAAAAAGTACTACCCGCTCGAGCGCGACCGTTCGAGCGTAAAGAAACCCGCTTGAGCGTAAAAATCACACCTGCAGAAGTTTTGCAGGGACACGAAATACTGGGAGTGTGCAATCTCCGTTCGAGCGCAACAAGGCCCGCTCGGGCGTAACGACCAAATACCTGGCAACAAGATTTTAGACCAAGGTTCAACCCACCTGTTCGAAACACGCTCAACACATCCTAAAAACTCAAACATAGAGAATTAAAGGATGTCAACAGGATATATATCTACCTACTCCACGGAACCTAAGTCCGGAACACTGTACATAAAGGGGACAAACCCGGGATCGCTATATAAATAAATTCAATTCATCATTAAAAAAAATCTTGGCAAAGTTGCTTACTGTACTCTACAGTGCACTTACATTTTAGTCAAAAAGTCACTATAAATTATTACGTTACTCTCTCTATTTTTTTGTATATTTTTTTTTTATAAAAAGTTAAAAAATTATTAAAATAAGTTATTTCCAAACGTGGCAAACTCTTGGGAAAAGATTTGTTAGAATCAACTCAAAGTGATTCAATTGCAATAAGAGAAATCATAGGCTACGCTGCTCCAGATACAAAAATCTTTCCAATTTCCTTAGAATGAAAAAATTGAACTTGCATTAGGAAAATTAAACTAAGTGATTGCTTTGGATTCATCAGATTTTTATTTAATTTTTTATTTTTTATTTTTTATTTTTGGCGATGAACAAAACAAATTACGATTATCAAATCAACTTAATTTTTATTTTGTGAATGATATATAAGAAAAATTTACAAAATAAACGATTTGAATTATTAAAATTAAAACTAAAAAATAACAGTATCTTCTACAACGGTCAGCTTTATCACTCCCTTTGTTTCAACCTCAAATAGGTTTCTATCTTCACACCTATTTGAGTTGAGAGGGGGGGGTTATACATATATCATGTATCATGGTGAGCATGGTTACACACCATGGGAACCACCCAAGCCACCCCATGGCGCACTCCCTAAGTCGCCCCCTTGGTGCACCACCACTAGCTTCTACAACGGTCCGACATGACCTCATAAACTGTCCCGACATTGATTCCGGTCAGCTTCTACAACGGTCCTATATGACCCCATAAACTGTCTTCTACAACAACGGTCTGACACGACCACACAGTGTCTGCTACATCGGTCTGGCATGACCTCGTAAACTGTCCTACTACAACGGTCCGACACGACCATACCGTGTCTTCAACAACGGTTCGACACGACTATACAGTGTCTCCTATCCTATTTTATTTTGTTTGTAGTTTATTTTCCCGTTTTATTACTCTCTCTAAACTCAAGTTGGTTAGTTCCTATCCTCCTTGAGTTTGAGGGGGGCTGTTAGTGTGTTAGCTTTATGTTAGTGGTTTATACTTTATGTATTAGTGTGTTAGCTTTATGTTAGTGGTTTAGACTTTATGTATAGTGCAATGTTAGTGCTTTAGATTTTCATCATTACAATTTGTAAATCGTCTCCTATATAAGGAGCCCCTAACCATATGAATAAATACAATCTATTCTACCTCTCTATACATTATTCTAATAAATGACTTTTTCGAAATAAATCGATAGAGAAAAATAAAGTGCAATTAAATTGAAATAACTAAAATTATTACTCATTACAAGAATCGGAAAACGATTAAAGAACTATTGAATTAAAACTATTCCTAGAGAAGAGAAATTTACTCCTAATTGAACTAGTTTAGATAAAATTGATGTGTTGGTTGATGTTGATTCCTCATTTTTTCCACTTTCAGCCTATTTATAGGCTCATATTTCAACTGTTAGATAATTTCTTGTTCTCCATGAGCCACAAACTAACAACAGCTTCCACGGATTCGCAAACGATACCCCACGTTCCACTTTTTCTTCCATAGTGCTGTGACTCACAATTGACAGAAAAATAATTTATGTTGTCAACACCTTGCCATAGTTAGGAAATTTCAAATTATATATACACATTGCACACTCGAACGCCATCATATGTAAATGCCTGAATCATTCCGAAAAAGAAAGGAAAAAAAATCATAGCAAGGTCTGTTTATCCCCCAATCTTGGTTTAACGCCTGTAAAGCAATCATTTTATGAATAGCAAAAGTTATTGACTAATTCCTTCAAATACTTAAAACTTGGCTAATTGAAGCTAAAAATAAAAAAAAGAAATAGTTATACACAAGGCCATCTTCAATCTTTCATCAAATGTTTCATCAAATTTAAATTTGATGAAACATTTGATGAAAATGATAATCCAACCGTTTTATCAGATTGATATCAAATAAAGGGTGCGCTATATTTTTCATTAAATCAAGAGAGTTTTTATCCTTTCATCAAATTTTGCAGGTAGCTATTGGTGGACGACTAGCCAGACAATTGGATTTTGGGATGAATTAGGAATTTTGTAAAAAGATTTGATAAAAATTTACTTTTACCGGACGATTGACAGAATGACTGGCCAGAAGACTAGTCGAATTGATGAAAAATTACTCATCATCGTTGGAGTGTATTATATAAAATCAATTTTTTTATCAATTTATTTACTTAAATTTAATAAAAAATTTGATGAAACGTTGGAGATGTACTAATAAGGTTAGCTTTAGAATAATTCTTCAGAATGATCACTCAATACTTTTTTTTTCCCCTTTTCCATGGAGGTTCCAATCCATCTGCTTGAATTGTTTGCTTTTTAATGTTGCAATAAATCAGGACCCAAAGGCACGCTACAGTTGACCCATTCATGCTTCATATAGCAATTTTTCCCCCAAAGGGTTGGGCTTACTTTCGGTACTCATTTGGATATTATTTGGGCTCAAGAAAACTATCATAGGTTCTGATTTAATAATTCAAATTGTTTATTTTGTAAGATTTTTCGTGTATATCGTCCATAAAAGAAAATTAAGTCAATATGATAATTGTAGCTTATTCATTTTATCATGTTTGTTTATGAAAAAATGAACGACAAATGTATTTTTAAAAATAGACTATCAATTTTTTTAGACAAATATAATAAAATGAAAAATCTAGAAATTCCCTAGATATTGATTTGTGATTATGTAACAATTTTAAGCAGTATATAACAATCCTAATCAAACAATCAAGACAAATCAACACAATGATTTTAACATGGAAAAAACCACAATTGGACACCTCCAACTGTGATTAAAAAAAACCACGGGCAACAGCCACAAAACAATCCACTAAGAAGATTTAAAGGAATTACACAGGTATACTCTCAATTACCTAGCAAATCCACGCCTAATTGAACCAACCTCTATGTGCCTCTTCCAACCCGTCTTCACCTCGGAATTGTCTTTACGATGAGCCACCCCGGAATCCACCAAAGCTTCAGGCTCGAATTCTTCAGAATCCACCGAAGAACAACTGTCTCTTTTGTAGAACAAACAAAACCTTTGATGTATACTCTTTAAAACATGAGTTGAATACTCAATCAAAATATCAAAGAAAACTCACAAAGTATCCCCAGATATAAACCCTAGAACCCAAAAAGAAGATTTGGAATAGTAATCCTAAAATCTGACCCAACACGCGAATTTATAGAATCTGTCCCGCGATCTCCGCTCGAGCGCCCAACAGCCCGCTAGAGCAGCTTCAGCAAAATATGCGCGTGATATAACAGAGGTCTGCTCAAGCGCTAGAGAACCCGCTCGAGCGCAAAATTACACATCTCAGCACTTTTACAGGCGACCAAAACTGCTGGAACCAAGAATTCTCCGCTCGAGCGGGGTAATGTCCGCTCGAGTGGACAGGCAACTTGGAATGCATTTTTGCATTGTGCTTCGGGGGCGCTGCCCCTCGACCCCGCCGTGGCGTTGCCCCCAGGACCCTCGCGAGCTGACCGAGCAGCTCGATTTCCGTCATAATCAGCGAAGTGGCAATCTTAAAAACATTAGCATCACAAACTTCTCTGAAAGGCACAATTCGGGTTGGATTCGCATCTAAACTCTCATAGACTCACTGAAATAAAAAATGTGAAAACAAATACAATTGAAAGGAGTTTTGTCAAATGGGGTTGTCAAAAATAAAACCTAACATAAAATAAAAAATTTACGATTATTTGATTAATCTAACTTTTTTAATGGACGACATACAAGAAAAACCCTATAAAATGAAATTTTCAAATCATCGAAACGGGACTTGTAATGGATACTACAAGCCCAAATAACACTCTCTAATCCAGATCATAAACTGGAAGCAAACCCAACCCGTTTTTCAATAATATTAGAAACACTAACTAGTATATTAACCTAAACACAATATTAAGTAGAAAAATGCTTGGGAGCACTAATTAGTGCTCCCACTAATTAGGTGGCAGTGGGTCCCGCCATTAATGATATGATGTTTTGGTCTTGGAGTTGTGTTTTTTTTTGTTTTTTTTTACTTTTTTAATACATTAATGCTATTAGTGGTGATATTTTTAGTGGGATGAATCATTGTTGTATTAAGTAAGTCTCCGGTCAGGTAATAGGTCCCACATGTGTAAAATTTCTAGCATATAATTGATTTTTTCTTAGAAGATGACACACTGATCTTGGTCCCACCATCCAATTGCCGTCTTGTAAATTTCATCATATTAAATCTCGGGTCAAGTAATAGGTCCCACATGTGTAAAATTTCTAGCATATAATTATTTTTATATTAGAAGATAGGGTCACACTGGTCTTGGTCCACCATCCAATCGCCATCTTTTAAATTTCAACCAGGTCTTTGTCTTTGTTTCAATTAGCTTTCTTTTTCCTTTTTTTGAATTTGAATGGTTCACGTCCGGAATTTTCAGATTATAAATAGTATATACCACCCTCATAAAAAAATAAAAAATAAAAAAAAATCAATTCATCATCAAAAAAAAATATGGCAAATTTGCTTGTTGTACTCTACACTGCACTTGTGTGGTGGTGCTACTTGTTGTGCAACATCTCTGCAGCCACTTCCATGGCAAATGAAACAGATAGAGTTGCATTGGTGGCATTCAAGGCAGCAATAGATGAAGACCCATTCGGTGCCCTCACTTCCTGGAATCATTCAGTCCACTACTGTCTCTGGAACGGCATTTTGTGTAGTCGTCGACATCCTGATAGAGTTATTGGGATAACTCTAAGGTCCCACGGCCTGGTTGGATCGCTCTCACCTCATATAGGAAACCTCTCCTTCCTCAAGAGCCTCGTTCTTGAAAACAATAGCTTCCAAGGCCCAATCCCCCCAGAGATGGGTCGCTTGTTCCGGCTTCAAATAATGGCACTCAACAACAATTCATTTGGTGGTGCAATACCTACCAACCTGTCGCATTGCTTGAGCCTCCAATACCTGAACTTGATCGACAACAACCTGACCGGAAACATCCCAACTGAGCTAGGCTCTTTTCCAAAGCTTATAACTTTATACTTGGGTAAAAACAAATTTTCCGGAACCATCCCTCCTTCCATTGGAAACCTCTCGTCTCTTTCCAAACTCTCTTGCGTATATTGTAATTTGCATGGGGAGATTCCGGGGGAAATTGCTAGGCTTCGAGGCCTGATTTTTTTGCAGTTATCCGCAAATAATCTATCTGGCAAGATTCCTCCCGGCCTTTACAATATCTCCACTATCCAGTACTTCGGCTTAGCTCTCAACCAACTTCATGGAATCATTCCCACTGATATAGGCTCCTCATTTCCTAATCTCAAGATGCTTTATATTTTCAACAATTTGTTTACTGGAACAATTCCTACTTCACTGTCAAATGCTTCGGGGCTTGAAAGGATGAGCTTCTCTAATAATGATTTCAGTGGGACAATGCCGAGAGATCTTGGAAAACTTTTGGGTCTTCAGTGGATAAGCGTTAATCTAAATCGGTTGCAGGATGACCTCACTTTTATTTCGTTTCTAACAAATTGCACCAGTTTACAACTTATTGAAGGAAGTGGAAATCTTCTCAGAGGTTCATTGCCTGACTCCGTCGCTAATCTCTCCACAAATCTATATTTGATGAATTTGGAAAATAATCAAATGCATGGAAACATTCCTTCGGGCATCGGGAACCTCCTCAACCTCACTGTCTTGGCTATGGGAAGGAATTATCTTACTGGCCCTATTCCACCGTCCATTGGCAGACTTCAAAATCTGCATACTCTGAATTTGCAGCTGAACAAATTCACAGAACTTCCATCTTCACTTGGTAATTTGACTCTCTTGAATATTCTCAGATTGGGAGCAAACAACATCCATGGAAGCATACCTTCAAGTTTGGGTGATTGTCATAGCTTGCTGGAATTCGACCTTTCTGAAAATAATCTCAATGGTTCAATACCCCCTGAAATTATGAGTCTCCCATCCATTTCAACCTTACTCCGGTTAAGTTACAATGCACTAACCGGTTCTCTTCCATCAGAAGTCTCTTTGACAAAACTTGCAAACATGGATGTATCCTATAATAGATTATCAGGACCCATACCAAACACTCTGAGCAATTGTTTGAGTCTGGAATGGCTTCAGTTGGAGGCCAATTCATTTGAAGGAGAGATACCTCAAAGTTTGAGCATGCTGAGGGGTTTAAGAATGTTGGATCTTTCACGCAACAATTTGTCAGGGATGATCCCAAGTTATCTAGGTGAGCTTCAACTAGATATGTTGAATTTGTCTTTTAATATGCTACACGGACAAGTTCCCACACAAGGAGTGTTTCAAAATCCAAGTGCAATTTCAATTGCCGGAAATAATGATCTATGTGGAGGTATTGCAAAATTAGACCTTCCTCCTTGTCCATCCTCCAAATCAAGCAAGAATAAACTATCACACAAGATGAAAATGATACTACTAGTGGTTAGTGTTGTGATATTTTTATCTTTGTTAGTTAGCTTCTTTATATTTCTTCAACGGTGTCATGCTTCAAAAAAGAAGACCTCTAGCACACCATCAATCAAACATCAATTTTTGAGGGTTTCTTATGCAGAGCTTCTCAAAGCCACCAATGGATTCTCAGAGGCTAATCTAGTTGGTGTTGGGAGCTATGCTTCAGTTTACAAAGGGATTCTTGATCACGTTCAGGTGGTTGTGGCAGTAAAAGTGCTTAATCTTCAAACTAGAGGAGCTTCTAAGGGCTTCATCTCAGAATGCAAAGCACTAAGAGAAATAAGGCATCGAAATCTATTGAAAATTTTGAGCGTTTGTTCCAGTGTGGATTTCCATGGTAATGAATTCAAAGCTCTGGTATATGAATTTATGGCCAATGGAAACTTGGATAAATGGTTGCATCAAGTTGGAATGGGAGACCATGGGCAGCTAGAAGAATCGAGAAGAAATCTTAAACTAACCCAAAGGCTGGACATTGCCACTGATGTCGCTTCTGCACTAGAGTATCTTCATTGCGGTTGTGAGTTGACAATTATTCATGGTGATCTAAAGCCAAGTAATGTTCTTTTGGATGATCAGATGACGGCCCATATTGGAGATTTTGGGTTGGCAAAAATTATTTCTACCTTTTCAAGTGATGTGGCACAAGGTCAAAGCAATTCAGTTGCAATAAGGGGAACCATAGGCTATGTTGCTCCAGGTACAAACTCTTTTCAATTTCCTTGGAGTAGAAAAACTGAACTTGCAATTGTAAAAGTAATAATATATATATACGCACACATGAATACTTTTCAACATACAAACCGTGGCTTCAACAGAACATACATAAACATACAAATCATACAAACCATGGCTTCTACAAAATAGTTTGGCACCTAGATATTTTTAAGCATTATTTTTATACACATTCCATTCCATTTATGAATGCTCCCAATGTGTGCATCCACCTCCCCACTATTAGCAAACCAAGTACTAAGTTTATTAAGTTTACTTTGTTTAATGTGGTCATGGTTTTTTTTTTTTTTTTTGAACGCGAGTGGTCATGGTTAATCTTAGTATAAATATTACCATTGAAGTTTACATTGCTTAATGTGGCCATGCTTCAATTTGGCTATGGAAAACTTAAGATAATCCTCTATGCTTCTTTTTTTTTTCTTTTTTTTTTTAAATTTAAATTTTTTTTTTTTTTTGGTTTTTTGTAATTTTAATGGTATCTACTAGCAGAAAAACTTAATTTACTAGTTTGCAACCAAAGCTCAATGCTTGGAAACTTGTATAATTTATTCTTTTTTTTTTTTGATCGGCAAAAAAGAAATTTTATTGATGGAATAAACAAGTACAAGGTACAAGACAATTACATCAATAAAGAAAAGGGAATTGCAAAAGCATCACAATGAGCTAAATGATCCCAACTAGGTTGGCACCACAAACCTCATCCTATCATTTGCTAGCACCCCCAGTTGGTGAGAGACCAACAAAAAAAAGAAAAGACCAAAGAAACAACAGAGCAGCCACCCAACCAACCAACCAAACCTAGCACCTAAGCATAGTCTGATTTACGGCCCTGTATGCTCATCAACCACAATTTAAATTCCTAGTGCTCATTATGCTAGCATAAGCTTCACAGCAGCACAACCATAGAATAAAACTGCTACTGCCACCATATACATGCACCAAAACTGCTATTGCCACAAAATTCATGAGCTTTTGAGTCCTACTTCAGAGGCCAAGGTACTAGAATTTATTCATGCAAACTTGAAAACTTGAAAAGCAACTCTCCTACTGCCAGCAAAACTTGAAAACATGAACAACTCTCCTACTACCACCTGACAGAGTTGGCCCTTAGCTTAGCAGCCCAGAGTCCAGCAACAGAGCAACAGATTTAACCATACAACAGATCAGCAACATAGCAAACCTTTGCCACCAATAGACCAGCAGCTGTGAAGCAAAATTCATGAACATAGCAGAACATAGCAAATAGCAACATAGCTTAATAGCAGAGCACCATAATAGCATAATAGCAGAACACCATATCAGAACTTGAAAGCAACTCTCCTACTGCCAGCAAAACTTGAAAACAGACCAGCAACATAGCAGAACACCATATCAGAACACCATATCTACCAGCAGACCAGCTACATCAAGTCAGAATAGCTACTGTTTTGTGGAATTGCTGCAACCTAACTAATCAAATACAGTGATGATCCTACAAATACAGTGGAGATCCTACAAATACACAAATACAGTGATGATCCTTCCCACTATAAGATCCTTCTCATATTACAACCTCAGTATTTTAATCCTTCTCATTCTGCAAACTCAGTAGAATTTAGTGAGCTTCTGTTTGAACTCCAGACACCATACTAGAACAAAACCTTCACCCTCCATTCTTGATACAATATCTCACCTGAGGCAGATTAAAGACCAAATCATTAATGGAGAAATCAACCTGGATTTTCGATTCTACTAGCAGAAAAACTTAATTTACTAGTTTGCAACCAAAGCTCAATGCTTGGAAACTTGTATAATTTATTCTGACAGAACTTCTTCTCATGCAAGACTAATTTCTATTTGCTCCAATAAAAAATACATTTAAACTATGTTATCTCAACAATTATCTCAATTTGCTCCAATAAAAAATACATTTAAACTATGTTATCTCAACAATTATCTCACTTAGTCACTTGCAACAAAAACAAAAATATTGTTATTGAGAGGGTTAGAATTCAGAATACATTTTCTATTGGGATTACAGCTATGTCAACTAACCAGACTCATTTTTCAGACTAACATTGGAAACAATTTGCAGAGTATGGCATGGGGGACATGGCTTCCACACTAGGGGATGTATACAGCTTTGGGATTCTTTTATTGGAGATGTTTACAGGTAAGAGGCCAATCGACGATACGTTTAAGGATCATCTAAATCTTCATAACTTCGTTAAGGATGCTTTGCCTGATCGAGTGATGGAGATTGTGGATCCCTACATCCTATTGGAGCATAGGACTAGAAGTTGGATTATAGACTGCATGGTTTCCGTTCTACAAATTGGGGTTGCATGTTCAATGGAATCGCCAAGAGATCGAATGAAAATGGGGAGTGTTATTAGCGAATTGTGTAAGATCAAAAATACTTGCATGAATGAAGGGTTGAACCAGGACTAGAAACTAGGAGGAGGATTTGCACCATGAAAACCAAAGGTGTGTAGCATACCCTCTTGACCTATGCATATGCATACTGAAATAGAAAATGCCATACTCAAAACAATTTTTTTTATTTGAATTTCTTACCACTAGACACAGAGACATCAATTCTACATATATTTACTAATATGGACCTTACTAAATTTGTGACTAGTGGTAAGAAAATCTAATGAGAAATTCATGAATATATAACATTACTCTACGAAAATACATCTTTCTCTCTATTGAAGCATCTCAATTTCATTTTCTCATTTTCTTTTTCTTTTTTTATTCTAATCAATTCTTTTGTTCATCAAGGTTACTTCCAAGGTCCTCCATTAATGCTACCTCAACAATATGCTACTTCAACAGCCAAGAGAATACAAGTGGTGGCTTTACGTTATTGTTGGCTTAGCAATCTTTAATCTATTGCTTGTTAAGTAACTGTCACTTTTCTCCTTTGGTTAGATTGTATTATATCAAACATATGTTCATGTGGGATGTTATGTTTCCAGCTAAGATTGTGTGCTTGGGATTACCAATATTTATTCCTATTAAATTAAAACTATCATTTCGTTGTTTCTTGACTTTTCGTTGAAATTGCATGTCCATGTATCAAAAATTCTTTGTTTTGTAGCTTTGTTTGACATTATTATAATTTTCCTTTTAGTCATTGTAACTCTATGTAATATAGACTCATGCACTACTAGCACTAGCACTAGCACTAGGTGTCCCGCTAGGACATATATATATATATATATGACAGTTAGCTATCATGTTATATAAGCTCTATATTGCATTGGAAACAAAGGAAAATATGTAAAAACAAAATCTTGATATGGGTGTTTTTGGAGATCTCAATTGAGCCAAATATGCCTTGTCATATGCTACAAAGAATCAAAATTCAAAAACACATATGTTAGAAGAGACACATTACATAAAGAAATAAAAGATCACTGACTTGAGGGGCTTAATTCCACCAAACAACTCTGTCTGACTCTAGTAACAAACAGACATAGTTTTGGAAGTTATATATGCATACCTTTGTGGCTTAGCATAAAAAGCGTCCAAGATACTGAAGTGATCGGGTCCAACATCCTGCCACTTGTTAATAGGTTTAGGAAAGTTGTCTTGACAACGCTGATGTTTCTTTCTATAGCGATCCCGATTTTCCCCATCATGTATTGTATTCTGGACTCGAGTTCCATGGTTGGTTGTTGCTGTTTATATCTTGTTTTCGTCCTTAAATTCCTCGTATTTGAGTTTTAGGATGTGTTCGGTAAATTTGGAACAGGTTGGGTGTGAGTTGGAAAAAAAATGGCTGTTGCCCAGGATTTTGCTTCTTCGCTTGAGCGAGGCTTTTTGCGCTTGAGCGAGCCTTGGGTTTTTGCTTCTTCGCTCGAGCGAAGGTTCTTGCACTCGAGCGAGGATTGTGCATCTTCAGGTTTCTTTTTCAGACGCAGCTTCTGCTCGAGCAAGCTTGGTCTGGTGTGTCTCTTCGCTCGAGCGAGCAGTCTTGCGCTCGAGTACGCATCTGCGTCTCTTTTAGACTTGAAGGTTGGTATTCTTCGCTTGAGCGAGCTTTCGTGTGCTCGAGCGAGCGAGCCCTATGTTTTGAGTTCCTTCGCTCGAGCGTGCTTCTGGGTTGCAGACCTAAAGCTTTGCATTGTTTGCTCGAGTGACGCTTCTTGCGCTCGAGTGAGGTCCTTTTATGTTTAGTCGCTCGAGCGACCGCTTCTTCACTTGAGCGAGCCTCGAGTATATCAGACGGAAGTAGCAGGATTTTTATACACTTTGTCGTCTCCTTCTTCCTCCAAACCCTGAATTCGTCACACTCTCTCTCTAAACACTCTCTCTCTCTACAAATAAACTTTGTTCTTGGGTGTCTCTACCCTAGTCCCTTTGTAGAAAAGGTAGGGCTTTGCGTGGGCTACGTTTTGATCCGAAAAAGTTGAGCTTTGGAGCACTTTGAGTTTCTTCCTTCTTCTCTTTTGAGCTCCTAAATTTGAGGTAGAGATAATCTACTCATTCTTATGAGTTTTAACATAAATTTTAGTCATTTTGTATAAATGGTGGAATATGGGAATTTTGGAAAGTTAGGGTTTGAAATTTGTAATATTTAAAAGGGAGGGTTTGAGATTTCAAGCCCCATGTGCGTATGAGGTCTTGATAATGGGGATTTGTGGATTTAATTGGTGAAATTTGGCCTTGGGGGCAATGTTTGAGAATGGGGGAAATTTATGCCCTAATGAAATCTAAATAATTAATTTGGTAGATTGTGGAAATACGAAATTTAGTTGAGAATTATGAAATTGGGAAAATATGAGTTGAATGGTGTAGTTGGATTGATTAATCACTCACCTATGGGAAAGTTGATAATTTATCTGTTTGGTAAATTTATTATCTGTTTAGAAATAACTACTTTGGGCTATCGGTGGAGGATAGTCTTGATTGTTGTAGACACTAAATGTTGATTAGGGAAAATTGAAACTAATCAATCGAGTTATATCATTGGATGTGACAGTGAAATTAACACATTGAATATGTGAATTGTTGTGTCATTGTATATAATAACTTATTAGATACATTGTATCTGTATATTGTGTGTGAGGAGATAGGGGACGTACTCCATTGTGTGGGAGGAGATAGGGGATGGACTCTATTGATAACTAAGTTGGCCAGAGTGTCCTGGGTGAAAGTCCCGAAACTTTATTCATTTATGAGTGCCGGTTCCCTCGGATGTAGTTCCGTAAAATGGCAAAGTTATGGAAGTGATGATTGATGTTTGTTATTGAAGTGTTGATATATGAGTTGTAGTCTCATTTTTGAATGTTTAGATAATATTGAACTATGACAATAAATTGACTTGAGTAATAAAAGGATATGAATGGATATACGGGAACCAATGTTGGTTGATCATGCGAAGGTTATGAGATAGTTTTGAATTGTAAAGCATTTATCAAATGCCAATGTTTTAGTTAATTCTCATATTATGTTTAGCATATCTCTATTGGGCTTTGGCTCACCCTATATGGGACACCATTTTCAGGTACAGGTGACATGTTGCCTCCAAGGAATTAGCTTGGGAGGTCGTGGGGCTGACGCTTCTGTTTTGGTTGTTTTATTTTATGTTATATGTTTTTATTTCTAAGCCAATGGCTTTAAATTGTAAAGGGTTTCTGACCCTCTTTTGTTAAAACCAAGTGTTGACTTGGAAAGGTTTAAGCTCGTAGGGCATTTATTTTTGTTGTCAACATGTAATACTTTTTGTAATGAACACTCTGATGAATGAAAATATGTTTTATTCTCCAATGTCTATGGATATCATGAATGATTGGTTTATGTTTTTTTTTTTTAGGGCGTTACACCTTCAACACAAAAAGTGAGACTTCTATTAGGCATTGGCTGCACATCAGAATTGGAACTGTCCTTTTAACTGTTCATTCACAGTCTCTTTGATAACAGTAGCAATACTCTCTCAGTATGGTTTCTGTGAATAATTCCCACTGAACTCTGTAGGAACTCCACTATCTTCTGACTGTAATTCCCAAAAACCTGCAAGACATCAAAGAAAATCCTCCTCAATGTGGAATGTTTGAGGTTCATAGTTCGTATGTTATAGTTTCATTCAATTCATATTGAAAAATGAAGTTGTTCTGAGTTTTAAAGTACATTACTATTCAAAATTCAGTGAGTATAGCAATGACCATGCTCGAGGCCCAATTACAAAGTCAGGCAGATCAACTGAATTCACTTCAGCTTTCTCCATCCTTAATACAAGACAATAAATTAACAATATATTTTTGTAAAGAACACAACAAAAGTATATATTCCATGCACTATAACTCTACCACAATCAGTTGTCTCAGAATTATTATTATTATTTTTAATTTCAATTCATATAGTCCAATTAGAAATAGTACATCCAAATTTTTCTATAGTATAGGGGGATAAAGATAGCGTTTTTAAGTGGGTGGGAAGGTGGCTGTAGACACTGTCACACAGACAGAGTGAGCACAAAGGGGAATACTACATTTTATCTTGTAGATTCTTCTGAGCTTTGCAACACCTTTCTTCTCTACTAGCTCAAACCCTAGAGAGAGAGCCAGGGGGGGAACTGCTACTGGCGGCGGTGGCGGCTGTAGTGGTGAAGGGTAGAGGGCGAGAGTGGGGATATCAACAGCAATGCAGACAATGGATCCCATTTTTTGTAGTATGGGATGACAAGGTTCAAATTAATCCCAAATTCAAATACTAATTAGAGAGACATGAGTTTGATTAATTAATTTACTCGGAATTTCCATCGAGGAAGTTCTGAAAAATTGCAAAAGAGACTTTTGGGGGTTGGATTGGGAGAGGAAAAAAATAGAGTGCTGCTATTAGCAGCTACTTAATTTCTTTGAACCCTCCAATTCTCACTTCTTTTTTTTATAATTACAATTGAAAAATCTAGAAATCCCCTAGATATTGATTTGTAATTACGTATCAATTTTAAGCAGTAAATAACAATCCCAATAAAACAATCAAGACAAATCGACATAACGATTTTAACGTGGAAAAAAGACAATTGGAGCATCTCCAATTGTGATAAAAAAAACCACGGGCCAAAGCAGCAAAACAATACACTAAAAAGACATAAAGGAATTACACAAGTGTACTCTCAATTACCTAGCGAATCCATGTCCAAATCGAACTGACCCCTATGTGCCTCTTCCAGTCCCGTCTTCACCTCGAAATTGTCTTGCCCAACGTTGAATCACACAACGTCGATGTCGAATCCATGATGATGAACCACTCTAGAATCCTCCAAAGCTTCAAGCTCAAGTTCCACGGAACCTACCGAAGAACAACTCTCTCTTTTGTATTGAACGAAACAAATAATCCTTTGATGTATTCTTCTTAAACCATGAGTTAAACTCAAACAAACATCAAGAAACTAACAAAGAACCTCCAAAGGAAAACCCCAATATCCACGAAAAAGATCTAGCAACCGTATCCCTAAACTCGAATTGAAACACATATTTATAGAAAATAGGGCCGCGATGCTCGCTCGAGCGAGGAGACTAAAACATGTGTTTTTCAAGTGTCTTCGCTTGAGCCACCAAAGTCTCGCTCAAGCAAGAAATGCAGCTTCTCAGTATTTTTACAGTCAGTAAAAACTTATGGGACCAAAGATTCTTCGCTCGAGCGACCAAACAACTTCGACTGCAAACATAGTCAGTGAAGTAGCAAACATTATAGGATTAAGTTCATAAACTTTTCTGCAGAGGCACAATTCGGGTTGGATTCGCATCTAAATACTCATAACCTCACTAAAATAAAAGATCGAACACATTTGTCAAACTAGATTGCCAAGAATAAAAACCTAACAATCAACCCCTTTGGTAATGCCGTGACAAAACACACCTAACAAATAAAATCCTAATCACCCCAACCCATTACAGCCAACAAAAGCAAACTTCTTTCACAAGGTCATGATCTACAAAACAACTATTAGTGCCATAATCTCCAAAACAACTATTAGTGCCACAAGAGTATATGAAAATGCAATAGACATTTGACAAGATTATCTTGAAGCATGAGATGAAAATATGAATAGA